TTCATCAACTGGGACGAATTGCTGAAACCCTGGTGACATCATCCGCCATCATCCGCCATCCTCCGCCCCTGAGTGATCCCAGCTCTTCCCATGGCGATACCATAGCTGGTCATGTCCACGCCTTCCAGGAACTCCTGGTGTCGTGGCGTGTCTGGGTGGCGAGCTTTCGCCGTGTCGAAAACCCTTGGATATATATATATATATATATGGGATGAAAACATGAAATGGGATTTATATGTATATGATTTATGCATATAGATAATTCTATAAATGTAATTTCATAGCTAGAAAGTGGGGATCCAACCATGGACATATATTGTTTTTTTTTCGGAATTGATACCCAATAGATCGATGTCTCCGAGACACCCGGCGTCGTTGCGTGGGTTTCTTCATGTTCCCATGAATTTTTGGGCTACACGAAGTTTATGAACCATAGCCACATGATGATCAATAGACAGATAGGATTACCTATACAATTTCATGGTGTAACCATCAACGATTATATGATATCAAACAACATATGGATATATATCTGGGAAAATTATCATATTTCACGTTCACCTGAATCTTGCGGCTATTTGGGGATGATTTTCCTTTTAAAAAAAAACATCATTCCAGGGTTCGGGAGAACAGTGAGGTCGTTACAATTTACCCCGAGTTTATGAACCATAGCCACATGATGATCAACCATTAGCTGGTTGGTGGTATACCTATCCCTCTGAAAAATATGAAAGTCAGTTGGGATTATTATTCCCAATAGATGGAAACATAACAAACGTTCCAAACCACCAACCAATTTGACTTTGGGGTGGCCAGTCAAAACATGGAAATCATCATTGACACGATCGTCATAGCCAAACAAAACAGCACATGCCCAACAAGAAAGGGGTCTTACCAATGGAAAACATGGACAGCTACACAACACATTTCACATTTTTTCTGATTCTTGCTACATTTTTCTTCTGATTCTGGTGGCGATTTAAGCAACAACAATTCGCCGAGCCGTAGAGGTGAGTGAAAATGTCTCGGTAACCGTGGGAAATGATATGGCAATAAAAATATGGTTTAATAGGAATAATAATGATATATTAATGATAATAACGATATATTGATATATATATATACTAATGGGATAATTCATGGATTTACCGCAAACTCAATATTCGCCGGGTAACAAAGTCATACAAGGTGCGCTTGGGTCAGGCGCAGCTGATGAAGCAGCCACTTCCGGTGTGTTGATAGTCGGCGGCTGTGCCGGTCAAGCATAGCCAACTTTCGAGGATCAGCAAGGCATCCTCAAGCAACCTGCTGTCGGATCTTGAAGTTGAGTTGAGTGTCATGGCTTGAACTTTGTAGGCGACGAATACCTGGCTTCAATGGCTGGAGAAAGTTTGGGAATATGAGGCTGAAACTCTGGCTCCAAAATTGCTCAAAGGGATCGAGGTGATGGTGGTAAACTGAGAGAGAGAGAGCGAGGTCTCTGGCGGCAAGTCAGGAAAAAGGAGTTGCTCCAAAATCACCAGGCCATTTCAATGATGAGATTGGAATCAATGATGATACGACTGGTACATCTCCCATGTTAATCAAACATAGCAATGCTGGTTGGTGGTTTCAACCCCTCTGAAAAATATTAGTCAGTTGGGATGATGACTCCCAATATATGGAAAAAAACAAATGTTCCAAACCACCACGCAGAATGGCACATCTGCCATTTCTAGATGATTTTTTCCCAAAACGCCACCGGTGGGGGGCTATAACAGCTGACATTCTTTGCATTGAGCCAACAGCTCCCCGTGAATCTCTTGGAATTTCATCCAAATGGTGGTTTCCTAACCTAGTTATCATCCATTTCTAGATGGGATTTTGCCTGAAATAAACCATCTATTTTGGGATACCCCCATTGATGGAAACCCCAAACAAATACCGAATCCCCTTTGGGAAACTGACGTAGCTATGGAAAATCCACATTTTTCGAAGTAAATCGACGAACTAAATGGCCTTTTTGAATAGCTATGCAACAAATTACCAGAGGGTATCCTTTGTCTTGGGGAATGCGAAAAAACTCCAATGAGAACCGATCCCAGTAACAAACCATTTGTGGGAAGATGCTTAACTGCAGGTTACACATGATTACTACGTGGCTTATCACCCCTTACAGCTATCATCACATTCTAGATAAAGCTGGGTGATTGCTAAGTGGGAGACTGCTAGGGCAGGTGTAGAAACCACTGGCTTCTGGGAGTAATTATCCAAAATCCATGGTATTGGCATTCTTGTTGGAATTTTAACAATTATAAACCACTATTATAAACCACGTTTTTAACCATTACTAAACACTATTAACCATTCTAATCCAGTCTAGTTGGCATTTTAACCACGAAACACCGAGCTCAGACATGGCAACTTGTTGCTGGAAACAAAGTCAGACTGCGCCAAGCGAAAAAAAAAACGCCACAGCGACTGCTTCGTTTTTTTTATGTTCCTGAAATCCATCGCTACTCAATTTAACTGCAGTGTGGCAGGATCCCATATACATATGTATCTATACATATATATATATGTGCATAAACATATACGTATAAATAATATATAGATATTGATCATATAATCTCCCATGTCACTATCCATTCTCCCATCTATGAATGGCAACAGCCGCAACAGCCGGTTCCAGCCGCGGTCCGGCTGCTTGCCATAGCAATTCCCCGATGGAATGATCTGGCGGCGAATGTCATAATGGAGATATATCATTCAGAAAGGAGGCTCATGGAATTTGTTTACATCACGGATTTTTTATCTCTCACAAAATGGTACCCTACTTAGATACTCTATAATTATTAACCTAATGATATTCATAAATATAGAGTATCTAACTAGCTTACCATTTCGTGAGGTAATATCCATGGATACAATTAAACCATGGTTGATAATATGGTAACCTAATTATTATCACCCGATAATTATGAACCTAATGATATTACCATGAAACAATGGTAACCTAATTAGATACTCTATAATTATCCCCATGGTTTCATAATAACCAGCTATTATGGGGATAATAAAAAAATGGGTTATAGTTAGATTGATATCCCGGTTTTTCTTGGATACCAGAGTAGTTACCTAACTACAAAAACTATTGGGTTCCTCACTATGGTCGCCCCTTTGCTTTTTTTACCTAACTACCCTCTGGTTATTTAACATAGCCATGGAAAATCCCTGAAATAACTGAAGGTTTCTAGTTGGGAAAATCATCTATAAATGGGCCATCTATACCATGGCTATGTTAAATAACCAGAGGGTATGGTAACCTATTGGGGATGGGGATCCTCATCACTAACATCACTGACACCGAGAATCACTGCTTTCATGAGAGAACTCCATGGGATTTGAAAATTGGATTTTCACTCACATTTAATGGGATGTGAACATAGCTAAGTTATATTAATGAAAGTGTTGGTGATGTTATGATAATGTATAAGTTATAAAGATATGATTAACTTTCATAGCTTATATAACCACCAACCGTAGGGAGAATTGAGAAACAGCAACCATTTTGATGAAGGTATATTGGGAATACCGTCGTTACTATTTCACATCATCATTGTATTCTCCAAAAAAATCAGTGCAATGGGGATATGGCGAAGGTTTATTTTTATTTTTTATATACACATGGGATTACTGGGTGTCAACGGGGTTGCGGCTGGTTTTTTTTCAGCAACCCAAATGGTGGATTTGGTGAAAACATGGGGACATAGTGGCCAATGAATTGAACATGGTGGTTTCATGGTCGTCCCAACACCAACAACAGGCATTTTCTCAATATGAGAGTGGGAATATCATGGGGATATCTAATGGTGACAGCCCACAGTCACAGTAAAGTAAGATTGTTAAAAAACAATCATTAACCACTATTAACCACTACTAACCATCATTAACCATCAGTAAGTGTATAAAACAAACAGTATCAAACAGTATCAAACAGTATGATCTTTGGTATGTCATGGTCATGGTCATGGTCATCGCAGCATGGGGAATCCGTGGATTGGCCAGTCGAATTCCTGTTTTTAATGGTGCTACAATGTGGGGCCCCGTTTTCGATAGCTAAGTTGGTGAACATAACTCCAATATCCGAAGATCAGATCGGTATGATCGGTCATTTCACCTGCATGTAGGGCACCAAAATCTCCAATTCGCGCCGCAGGGCCGAGTCCAACCATGCCCCAGGAGCATTGCAAGCTTCACCACAAGTAATCATCTTGATCATCAAGCGAGACACTCTCGCTCTTCCGATGATGCCTCCAATGGAGCGAACGCGCCAGCAGAGCAGTCGGGTGTCTGGGGCCACCATCTTCTCATCGAGGATCTCTGAAATGACTGAATCATCTTCACATTGTGCCAGCATCTGAGCAACAGCATCCTGAAGGGATTGAGGCTCAGCTAGCTGATTGTCACTCTTCTCCTCAATCTCCTCCTTCTGCTCAACGACGATCTCCTCCGTCTCCTCCGTCTCCCCGGCTGCTGGAGCACTGGATGGCCTAGCACCACTTGCCGTCGCCTTCACTCTGGCAGGAGTGATCCGAACAGTGGCCTTCGACTCAGACGGGGCCAGATTCAAATGTGGAGGAGGATGACCAGGTGGTTTGGCCTTTTTCCCTGGTGGCTCTGGAGGGAATGTCGAGTCGTCGACCACTGAGACAGTATTTTGGTGCAGTGCCAGAGGGAAAACAGAAGAGCAGCAGCATCCATAAGGTTGACCGGCAAGAGCTTGAGCAGCAGAAATTGGAAGTGTGGAGGATTCACCATTGGCAATGAGAAGTTGGCTGTGGGCTGCATGCCTAAGCTGTGAGTTCGCAACGTCGGCGCAAGGCGGCTCGGGCCCGCCATGTCCGAACGCAGACACTGGCCTCTTGGTGCAAGTGATTGAGGCTGTCAGCTGGGTCGGTGCCAGCCCGGCTTGCGGCAGCATGAGCAATGTGTTTCAAAATCTTCATGGCCGCAGGGTCCTAAGCGCCTGTGCTCTCGACAACCATGGGCACAAACTGCACTCCGTGGCTTCGACAAGCTTCTCCAGTCTGCAGGTAGGACTCCTTGTGGTGGGCATATGCCGTGGCAGCCGCCGCCCCTTGCTGACTGGCTTGAACCAAGGTCTCCTGCCGCTGTGGTGCTGTTGCAGCAAAGTCAAGCGCAGCAGGAGCCCCAACCAACGCCGGAAGGTAAATATCAGTTGGTCGCCGGCCTGAGTTGCTGGTGTCATGAGGCGACTGTGCCAGCAGCAGACCCGGTCTCTCCCTCTCCCATCGTTCAGCCCATACGAAAATCAGATCTCGCAGGGCGTGGTGCTGTTGGGTCCTCTCACCACCTGCAGGGCACATCCCTGCGTGGTACTTTTGCACGTCCAAGATCCCATCGCAACGGGGGCACCAAGCATCCTGGTCTGCACCCGGAATGCCCAAACGAGCGCGTAGTTCGGCAACAAAAGTGGCAGGTTCCATGCGCCCCCGGCCAGCCGGTATGGCTGCCAAGAAGGCCCGCGCACCCAAGCAGCCCTCTGACTGTAAAGTGGCTTGACCCACAATGGTAGCCTAGCCAAGCTGTTCCTGCCATCCAGCAAGGTCTAGCTTCAAAGACAAGTCATGTTGTTTGGAGTGACTGCCAACGCCGCACGCACGTCATGGGAAGATCGCAGGTCCTCGGCAGAGAAGGCGGTGTCCAAGTCCTGCGCTGCAGTGGAGGTGTCCCCCAACGAGGGAAGGTAGGCAGCCGAGGCGTGCTTGGCTGTTGATCGCAAACCCAACCCAGCATGCCCAAGTCCGAGGGAAGCTTGCTGCCATTGCATTCCCGTAGGGTGAAGCCCTGTCAGATCCCACCATCCCATCAAACATGCCCGACGTTGGCGGCGGCCAAGTTGAGGCAGAGTCCAGACTGTGGGTTGGGCCGCTGGTGGTTGATGTGCTTTGAGGAAGGTAGCCAGAAGCCAAAGCAGATAGGCCACGGGCGCTCCACGCGACGAGGCCATGCGCTCCCTAAATGAGCTCCGTGAGCCGCAGCGGTCAAAGTCAGACCAAGCCAGCGCACCAGAGGTTGCGAACGTGGGTCCAGCCCGGCCTAACGATGACCGCCGCAGCTCGACTGCCCCCCCTCGACTGGCCGGTCCAGGGGGCCGAGGAAGAAGAACTCGGACCAGCTGAAGGTGCCGACCAGCAAGGGGGAGACAGCCACGCACACGGGCGAAAGACACTACAGGGTATGGAGTTAACTATGGATTTGTGGTACTTATAAATATAATCATAGTTATTGGAGTAATGCCCATCAATGACCATCCCAATAATCAATAGCTAACTTGGAGTATTTATCATATCCCATAATTATTCAATAGCTATAGTTCATGGGATTTATGGCTATTGGATGATGATTATTTAACTATTATCCAATAACACAGTCATACCCCAACTATGATTTATGGTACTTATAACTTGATTTATATTTATAGATATCCCAGTCTCAGTTATAATATATCTATAGATATCATGGAAAATCACCATGCTATTAAGAACGGTAAACCATCTATTTCTAAGGGCCATCTATACCATGGCTATGTGAAATAACCAGAGGGTAAATCGATATAAATCATGGGATAATTATATGGGATATGATATTGGTGGTTTTTGGTAATGGATAATTGGATATACCCTCTGGTAAACTAACAGTTTGACATGGAACATCACTCTTTTTTAGGAGGTAAATCAACTATTTCTATGGCGGTACCCCCAAAACCGATTTCAACATGTACGTCGGGGGAACAACAAACGGCTGTATCCATAGACATCCAGCAGTGTGACTTGCGCTGCCCCTGGTCGTGGTTTTGTGCTCACATCTTCGGTGGAAACGCCATTCCTGTGATCACAGAAAATGCCGAAACATGGCAAGTCCGCCAAGTCCAAAATGGAGATTTTTACCGGTGTACGCAGAATGCCGTTATTGGGGTGATTTTGAAGCGAAGTGATTTTTCTTCGAACTGAGACCTCGGAGAAGCCCTGATGTGGTGTGCGGTTTCTATACAGCAGGCAAAATCTGAAGAGCCTGGAGAGGGGAGTTGCCAACGCCATTCAATTGTATAAAGGTACTGAACATCTTTTTATCATCAATGATCCATTTTCAATAGCAAACTGTTAAATTACGAGTGGGTATTTCTTCGGAGGTTGCTGGAGAAAAAAATGCACATCGTACCACGACGACTCAACCTAGATTGCCACGACTAAACCACAACCTGGCCATGTTACACGCTGATACGTACATGACATAGGTAGAGTATGGTAGAGTTCAGTATTCATTTTGTGTTTGGCAATAGATGGGTGTGTCTGAGAATAAGGTACACCTCCAAAATTATAATGGTTTATTCTCAGACAAACCATTATAATTTTGGAGGTGTACCTTATTCTCAGACACACCCATCTATTGCCAAACACAAAATGAATACTGAACTCTACCATACTCTACCTATGTCATGTACGTATCAGCAGTAACTTGGCCAGGTTGCTGGGTTTATGCGTGGAATAAACAAAGAAAGACACTAGAAATGGCTTCCCGGTGTGGCAATCATTGACCATAAATCCAGTCAACAATAACTCCATAAATCACAAAAATGACCCAAACATATCGACACCATTCAACCATCTTATCGCCCACCTATAGTTCTACCCTCTGGTTATTTAACGTAGCCATGATATAGATGGCCCTTAGAAATAGATGGTTTACCGTTCTTAATAGCATGGTGGATCTTTCCATGGCAATTTGTTAGTCATAGCCAGATGGTATAACCTCCAATTTCCTATGGTTTTCCTATGGTTTTCCTATGGTTTTCCCATTAAAACCTCCATTTTCCTATGCTTTTCCTATGGTTTTCCTATGGTTTCCCCAGCTATAACCTCCATTTTCCATTGCAAACTGTTAGTCATAACCAAATGGTAAATTTAACATGGAACCCCAAGTCGAGTTAGAGTCGATGATCTCCAATGGATCGCCATTTTCATCGACGAAACATCACCCATTAAAATCGCCCACATGTCCACCAATTTATCTACCAGATATAAAATATATAATATATAATATATAAAATATAATATTTGCTGTTTGCATATTATACACCCTTTTTCTATTTGCTTGAAACATGCCATCACCATCTTCGCATCCCAACATGTTCTGGTTACCATGTTTGGCACGCGGGTGACCGGCCGTGGCCTTGTCTGCATACTGCCGGACATCTTGCGGCTCGTCGACAAAGACCTCGGGCGCCCCAGAGGGCCCGGAGGCTCCGCACTCCGAATGTCCCGCTGGAGAAGTTACCACCCATGACGGATCCATGGTGCTGGTATATATGCTAACATACAGGGGGGTATATTGATGGGATCCATGGTAATTACCATATATAGCAGCACCATGGATCCGTCATGGGTCATGACATCAACGTTTGACGCAACCAACATCAAGCGTTTGAAATCGCAAATGATCCATAGAAATAGATGATTTTCCCAGCTAGAAACATCTATTTATAAGGGAAAAACATGGTTCAGTCAGAAAATCAGAAAATGAGGTGCCCAAATTTCAACCTATCATTTTCACAAAATTGGTTATTAATCATTTTCATCTTCATTTTGCTATTATTTTACCCCAAACCTACTGGATGGTTCAGGGGTTCCTGTAAAAGATTAGCTCATCTAAACCAAGGAGACTCCAGAAACCATCATCAACTAAGCACCATGGCACCTGAATCAGAGTTCACACCAAACTTCTTGGTTTTATGATGTTTTATGTACCCTCTGGTTATGTCAAAATAGCTATTGAAAATGGCCAGTTATAGTGAGTTTTCCCATTAAACATGGTGATTTTCCATAGTTATGTTAGTTTACCAGAGGGTATTCATTCAGGTTGTATGATGTTTGCCTCATCCCCGTGGCATTGGGGTCTTCACCATGGCAGTTTCGACCTGATGAAAATCCTGTTTGGTGTTGCTATAGTTACTATAGTTATTGATAGCCACAAATACGAATAGGTACTCATTAAAGTTGAATCCTTATAACCAAATTACTAGTGATTAATCAATACTTATCCCTCAGAATCACATTGACAGCTATGTACCAGCAGTAGTTCGCAATAAATGAACCATTCAGCTTCGAACATCTCCTGGTTGGTGGTTTTAACCATCTTGACAAATATGAGTTCGTCAATGGGAAGGATGACAACCCATATATTATGGAAAATAATCCATTCATATTCCAAACCACCAAGCAGATATCTCATTAATCAACCATTATTAACCACTATTAACCACCATCATCCACCATTTCATACAGGTTCCAGTCACCACCAACCAGTTACAGTAACCATATGAAACTCCCATTAAAGCTCCATTTTTTCTGGCCATGATCCACCATTACCAAACTGTTACTGGTTCCCATTGAATCATGGAGAATCGCAAGATCCCAGCAGCTATCTCATTGATTAACCATCATTAACCACCACTATCCACCATAAAAAGCTTCGAAAATCTCAAGTTTCCCAGATGTTCCCAGCACCGTTTGAGCTGCTTGCAGCTCGCAGCCAGTTTTTTTAGCTCCCTGACCAGATCTCCATCCACGCGAGTCTTGACCCGATGCTTGGTCACTGCCACCTGCTACGAGCTGAACGAGCGGCCGGCGGCCGGTGAAAGGGGAACCATCCATTTTTATATAGTTGTACCATTTAGTTTTCATTTTATATAGTTAATCTTACTGCTTAGAATCTGATTGATATAAATCAACCATAACAATGATCATTTTATATCAAAATAATATCCAATCATTTGAGCCAGTCAATCAAGATCAACTATATAACATTATATAAATGGTGCAAACGACCCAGACTGAAATGAGGGAAAAACCCTAGACACTGATGAGACAACTGGCTTCCAGTTTTTATCCAAAAGGTGGTGCCACCGCAGTTGTGTTTCTTTGTTACTTTATACCCTCTGGTTATGTCAAAATAGCTATTGAAATGGCCCATGTATAGATTATTTACCTATCAAGCATGGTGATTTTAAATAGCCATGTTAAATTACCGAAGGGTAAAACCTCTGCGCTTGTTCGGTATCTAAATTCCACAGTTACATTGGCTGCAAACCAACTTAGCGAACTGGGGCACCACCGTGTGGACGTAACCTTTTGCCATGAATGGGGACATGTTATCATTGTTGATGATTAAAGCAACAGTTTTACATGGACAGAACCACCCACTTGGTGGGGTCCCAAATGATAACTTGTTTTCGTTTATGGCCAATATTTACCAATCTTAGCTGCTTCAAAGACCCAAGGTCATCGCCCTTCTCAACATTATTGATCAAACGCTAAGTAACGAAACATGTTTCAAGGGCGAACACCTCTTTTAAATTGCCATGGCACTGGACATCCCCCAATCATTGAAGCTCATAGTTTTTTTCCATTGCCAATTCGCTGGAAAGGCTTATTCTTCGGCATCCTCCGGTGCCATCAAATGAGGCCATGGAAAATCACCCATCAATGGAGGGTTCAGTGGGAACATGATCTATATGTATATATATATATATATTAATATAATATATATATATATGTTTTTTTTATTATATAGATAGTTGAATGTAACCATATGTATATATATATATGTGAATTTGATATATTATATAGATAGTTGCATATCATATTTATATATATATATACACTTATTATATATATATATATATCCAATTTCATGATTGCGCTGGCCTCGCCAGTGACGACGATGATCAGCTGGGCACCATCATCTGGTGCCTGCCATTTTTTGGAAGTC